GAAGCATCAAAGAGACCCTCAGTCACAAGCAGTAGTTGACTTGGATACACTCTTGATGGGGCTGTACTGAAACAATCAAAACAACGTGGAGTCCATTCACGATGAACACATATGGCAACGCTGTCTCAGAACTGGAATTTTCCAATCTCCTGCTAAAATGAAATCATAATGCCAAACCAAAGTGGCATAACCAAAGAGAAGCAACAAAGGTGCATGAAACAAAGTCAAAATGAAAGAGCAAATCTGAAACAAAATAGTCAAATCCAGAGCAAAGTGGTCAACATGTGTTTTGAGCCAGGCAGAAAATGTTTTGCTGAAAGATTCACCAAAATCAATACAGGTCTACGAAAGAATTCAGCTTTAATAAATCAGTGTTTCTCAGCAAAACACAAATTTATGTTTCAAAAATTCAACCACCTGTATGAAGTTCATCAAGTCCAGTTTTGTTGCAGTTATGTAAGACAAAATGCATACCTTTTAATTAGTGCATTTCTGGAGTGCAATTTATTCTACAGATACTATAGTATAAAATGCCCCATCCAAAGTCAGTTGACGTCTGTGGCAAGATTCCCACAAACTTCAGTCAATTAGACCTGGTGAGACTGGAGGGCTGAGGGATGGAATTAAATAAATATCCTATAGCTCTGTGCCAGAACCAACTATTAAATAGGTACCCATTAAAAATGAATTTTTTTTTGTTGTTGATAAAATATTTTATTCTCTTACAAATAAACATAAGTGTTCAGCAACAGTTGTTCTACCTTTTTTTTTTTAATTGTAAATAGAAGTTCTATATGTTAACACTTGAAAAACGTTTCCTCTGATGATGGACTTCAAGGAGCTTCAAGTACTTAATCATGTGTCTAACCTGAAACTTTTTCAAACCCCATCAGATACATGATTAGGTACCTCTCAGACAAAAATAAAAATTAGAAAGTCTGGCAAAAGTCTTGGAGGGATGACAGGAAACACGTGGATAAAGTTTCAGAAACCTAGAGCCATGTGGTTTCTGTAGAGTGAAAAACACTTGTGATCAAAGTGAAGAAGGTTGGGTTTTTTTTTTAAACAAGTTTTTTAGATTTTAAATCATGCATTATTACTCTGGGCCACTTTTATTTTCATAAAGTCAAGACACTTTGTACAATGTAATTTTGTGACTAGAACACTGCTGAAGTTAAAAGCCTGAACTTAACTATACTGCTAAATGCTGTCCAGGTTGGCTGTTTTATTGAAACTAGTGCATACCATTTTTAAGTTGAATTTACTGCTTGGGTTACTGTTTTTCATGTATTTTAATAAATATGATTCCTTCTTAAAAGTAAGTCAAATGTTCAAAATACAGACTGAGTTTTCTTTTAACTGCAATTTAATATTTTGAGACTTTCCAAAAAAGAGACTTAATCACAGGATAAGAGCAAATACTCTAAGAGGGCTGAAGAAAGAGATATTCCCTTTCTTAAATATACAATTTGACTTTGTAATGACTAAAACAGATGCCTGCTTTGCCACAAATCTATTGCTTCGGAGTATGTGTAAATTCAAGCATTGGACTCATCTTTTCTGTGGCTGGGAGGCATTTGTTTTGGTGGCCTTACTCAGGGAGCATAGTACTACTCAACATGAATAAAAGTGGCAGACGCAGGGCCTTCATCATTGCCATTTCACTTCAGACTAAATGTGCAACACGTGGCCATAACCCTTGAAGCCGAGTCAATAGGAACTTCACTAGCTTTCACCAGGAGGCAGAGGAAAGTTTACGGGGGGTGCTGTAAAAAAAACTGAGATCACCGCATGAACATCTGTGCTGCAGACCTTCAGCGCTGGTACTACCTGGGTAGCTGGCTTGATCCTGCCCTGTTCACAGAGGCACTCTGTGTTTTTCCCTTTAGCTGACTAAGATCTCATAAATGCATGTAACGACCTCCCTTTTTTCTTGTTTGGTGACTGGGTATTTAGGGAAGGAGGGAAACATAACAGTGTAATGTGAGATACCTAATGAGCACAGTAAGTGCTATAAGCACTGGATGGGACTTATGTGGAAAGAGTCAAGATCTTAGGGAGGACTGTTTTGTTGTCTAGCATGGTGGGAATCGCTGCGTAAAAGCTTCATATTGAGCTAAAAGCAGTCACAGCTTGAGGATAGTGGACTTTATGTGATGGACTACTGCACTGAAATAGAGATAATGGGAAGTTTTGGAAGAAACTTCCAGACAAAAGATGATTTGAAACAAGGACTTAAATTCAAGCCTCCTGCTATACTGTAGAACCATTTTTTTCTTTCTCTCCCTTTTTCTGCCCCCTAAAAGGGACTGGCTCCAAGGCTCCAACAGGAGAGAGTGACTCACTCTACAGCCTCTGCTTCAGGCAGCTGCTTGAGATGTGAAAGACCAAGATGCTAGGCAGCAAGTCTCATTACTCACCACTTGCATAAATCTTTTAGCAAAAGCAATGAAGAGTTACAGCTGGTTCCTGTGAGATCCTGAGCACCTTCTGAGAGGGAGAGAGAGCTTTCAGTAACTTATGAAATATGTGGCAGACAGGCACCCCGAAGGAGGGTACATGGTTCAGCATCATACTGCTGCATTCCCCTACACAAAACCAGATGCATTTGGCAAAACCTGAGTCATCTAGCTAGCAGCGTTTAATTAATTCTGATGTAATGTTGATTGCAATTAAGTTTGCTATAGAGCAGCCTGCTGTCTACCAAATTGTGTTGGTTCTGTTTAGTCTTTTTTTTTTGTTGGAAAAAGGATGATAGTTATAGACTGTCTACTTCCTGGGTTGCAAACTGATGAAATATTTATTCTCTGTGTATCAAGGGCAAGAGTTTGCAGAAAAAGCAGTTATACAAAAGGCAACAACCCAATACTTATCAAGGATGTTTTCAGAACAAATGGTATGTCACTAGAACTTGTTAACTAAAACTTCTGGAAAGAACTTTGAAAAGGTACATGTTGTTTGAAAGGGGTGAAATTCACACAAACAAACAGAAATTTGGAATTTGTCCTAACTAAAGACTAGATTACAGGCAAAATGTCCAGTCCCTACTTCGGTCTTTTAGAGGGACTGATGAATTTCATCCCCATTAAAGTCAATTTGACCCACGACACTTAAAACCAATCATAAACAATTTGGGGGAGGGACAGAAGGAATGATATGACAAAACTCTGCTCTGCAGATTACAGCACAAATTCCTGAACTTAACTAATCTTTATTCCTGTATGCAGTTCCTTTGAAGTCCATTAGGACTACTTCCACATGAAAAGTTTGGGAACATCTTACCCACAAGCAATAAAGGGAAAAAAAATAATCCTATTTTAAAATATTGTGGAGAAGAGTGTCTGAGAACAGCCAGACTGTAATGTTACACCAGGTGTTGGGATTTGTTCTCAAGCAGTAAGGTTTGTTCATAAATGAGCCTTCAATGCCTGAGTTGGAAAGATGTGCAGCTGCAGTTGGTTCATCATCCACAAAAATTGGGACAGTACAGGCTGCACATTTCAAGCAGTTCTGACTTACAGTCACAGGACTGAGTCCAAAACCCCTAGATATTCATAGTTAAAGACCAAGTTCCAAACTTTTAACTCAACACAAGTAGCCTTTACACCTTAATGTCAATTGTACTGTTTGCAACCACAGGAACTTCCTTGAACAGAGAGGCCTGTTGAGCAGTTCAACCTCATTATGCTTCTGAGGAGGCTGCAAGTCTCAGGGAAGCAGGATATTCAGCTGGGAAGAAGCAATCGGATCTCTTAGATGTGATGCACCTTCCAACAGCATCAGTGTCCTCTTGCACAAAGAACACTCCTGTGATGGAGAGGATCTTAAAGGGTAGAAGTAAGGTGATGGGAACCTCTCTTAACACACACAGATAGCTCGTCTCTGGTATTTGAAACGGCTACACAGAAACTTACACATTGCACATCATGAGATGCATGGACAGGTTTAGTCATCACTAATGACAGAGAGAAATGTAGGAGGGATGTTCTGGAGGAGGCCAGGCAGATGAGACCAGGACCTCCATGGCGGGGTCTATGAAGCACTGCCAGTTCCAGGAAAGCCTGGGAGACAGACAGGGATCTGGAACTGATGCACAGGTGAGATGATATAGGGAAGAGAAACTCAGGTACGCTAGAAGCTGGTGAACATTTTTGAACAAAAGGAATCTATGCAAGGATAGGCTGCACCATAATAATAGCAGAGCCAGGCTGCTGGCACTGAAGATGGAAGAGGTTACAGAGGAATATTTAACCCCCAAACCAACAGAAAGCTGATAGCTGTGGAGGAGATCTGGTTTAGATTGATGCAGTCTACCAGGTGAATGTGGCAAATGCTTGATGCACCTCTGAAAATACCAGGAGGGAAACAAGCAGCAATAAGAAAGGCAATTTAGACCATCCACAGTACTAGCTGACTGGCACATGAAACAGTGAGTGAGTGAGAGGAGAACTTACAACTGCTTTAGAAGCCTAAAAAATATGATGGGACAAAATGCCTTGAATCCAGAGATAGCCCCCAAATTACTGGCATCTCAGAGACCTAAAAATGGCCAGGCTTGTATGCAGTCTGTAAAGAGCCTCTCCTATTGCCGCAATCCAGAATATCGTTAGATGACAGTCATTCACCTGGTCAAGTAGGACATTTCTTCTGTTCTTATGTTCATTGACATGACACAAAATACCAGGGTGCACTCAGGCACCAAAATATGTAGCATCTGCAGTCTCAGGGTGACTGTGGATATGGTGTGTCACTCTGTGTAAAAACACTACTCAGGCTGAAATCTTGCCTTAAAACTTTGCCTATCTTTATCTGCCAATGTTATTTTATGACATTGGTTTTAGTTCAGCTTTTCTCTCTTTTTTATAAAGCCATAGTGATAAAACAATTTTTTAAAAACTCATGCATGCCATGAGAACTGAAACAAAACATGTATGAAAGAAAACACTTTTCAGGGTTAACATGGTGAGCATACTGAAAATTATGACTAAAAAAAAGCTTACGTTCGTAGCAGTAGGCATCAAACTTGCTATCTGGGTAAGGAAAGCCTGTTTGGTTCTCATAGCGATACAGGGTTCTCACCCCAAGTAAACCTCCACCACACTGGGGCCTTGCCACCGAGGCTGGGTAACGAACGCTGCCATCCGCCAGCCAGCCATAGTCACACTGGTCAAAGCCATTCCTCCAGGCGACATACAGGTTCCCAACAGAAGCAAGAATGCCATCTCTTTTCCGACACAGCTCTTTAGCTTCCTCAAAGGTGAGCTTCTCAGGGACTGAGACATGAACCACTTCATCTAGAGGAAGAAAACAAAGATAACAAAGACTGAGTATCACATTCCACTATCAAGTCAGCTTAGTTCCCCTCTTCCAGTAGTTTTTTGCTTAAAAAAATAAGATAGTTGGAAAATCAAATGACCCAGATTTGAATATGAAAATGGACCTACCACAAAGCATGAGCATTTATATGCAAACTTTATGTGATGAAGTACACTGCGATTGGCGATTGAGTCCCTCCCTCAGTCTCTAGGCAGAGGTAACAGCAGCCTTGAGGCTCCTCTGTGACCTCTGTTGGAGTAGACTTTGCAACTCAACTGCGTTAATTAAATCCAGTTCAAGAGAATTTACTTTCGCAGTAAAACAATTTTACATCTGCAAGCCTCCTACCTGACCTTTTTAGTCATCGCTAGAATCTCACTTGAGACACACAAAAAAAGCAAATGTTCTTCACTGGCTGCTCCACAGCAGCTTCTAATGTCATATTTCCATCAAGTCGTCATCTTGCCTCATGGGGAAAAAAAGGTGACGGAATGCACTAGACATGTTGCGTGCACAAAGCCCTTTTTGTGTGAAAAAGTTGAATTAGTCTAGAATGCTGCCAGTATAGTTTAGCTTCCATGGAATAATGATTTGTAAACAATAGCCTTCCAGTTGGAAACTGAAACAAAGCAAATAGCACATCTAATATTTTACTTCCAAGCTAAATCACCATTAAACTGTTGGCTTGGTTGCCTCATTCACCCAAACACTATAAAGAAAATCAAGGTTCTAATGTTCATATCCTGGGAGTGAAACAGTAAACTGACTCTTTTCTAGTTTTTGCTCAGACTTCAGGTAGAACTGATGAGACCTAAAATCAACATGTTCAGCTGTAGAAAACAGCACAAATTCAAAATATTTGTTACAAGACAGTTATTCTCTTCCTCAACTACAGTAGGCCAGAACACAACAGTCACTGTTGCAGGAGAGCACTGCTTATTCATACTGGACATGCAATCTGTCTTACCTCTGTAGTTGTCTCAAGGCTACCTAGCAGAAGGCAGAAACTACATCACCCCAAGCAGTTTCATTCACATCAATATTACGCTTGTTTCGGGCTTGAAAGGAATGCAAGTGTGAAAAGAGGCAATGTGCCAATTTTCTTTTTCCTCCTAGGTAGAAACTCTGATTTGTTATTACAGCTGTAATATCAATTCCATAGTGTAAGTTTCTTTATACTTGTTGTAGGGAGTTTCTAACTTAGAGGTAAAGGGACAGAGCACGTCTATGGGAGAGGGACAGAGCACATCTATTAGACACATTTTAAGATAAGGAAAGCAAAGAAGCATTCACCCTCAGAAGTACCAGAATGCTTCATTCAGCTCTTCAGACCACACAGATAACGTACTTTTTCACTAAAGACTTCTGCAGAAGACAGCTTTTTCTGCATCAAGGGGCTGATCTGCTATCATGGCCAATACAGAATGATGGATGCAGTTATCCCACCATACTGTCCCAATGGCAGCATCATGAAACAACGGAGCAAAGAAAGATCTCTCCAGGGCAGCCCCCTCTGTTCTGAGGACACACAGCAGCCATGATGTATATGAAAATTAGTAGTTAAAATGTTTGCAATTAAATAGCAGATAATATCGATCCAGTTAGACAAGAAAATGAGACATGTAAGAAAAGCAATATATTTTAATGGTTTTCTAGTAACAAATACAATGGATCAAAAAGTAAATACTGTCAAACAATCCCACAACATTCTTTCTGAGAGAAACTTATTGAAAGCATAGGAAAATGGGTAAACAGTGCAAGATTAATAGCAAAGCAATTTTTCCATCAACTGATCTGGATCACTGCCTCTAAATGGAGCTTGTGCATAGCACCATTAAAGTTAGCTCTTAGTTGTCATCTGCATTCTGTAAGAGCAAGGAAACTTAATGAATGGCTATAAGACTTCAAAATCCAGGGTTCAATCAGTACTTGTGTAAGAGAGGTCACTTTAGCAGAGAACTTACTCATCCAAGTTGCACAAGAGCATTTCTATATGGAAATCTGCCTTAAATTTGTCTTGTAATATGCCCGTATATGCAATATTGATAATACCGCACATTTAAAAGATGGGTGGCATATCTTTCTTTGTGTTGAATCTATTCTACTGACCCCATAAGTATTTATTTGGTTCATATATTAAAGTCAGCTGCTGTCATACAGATACCATCTTTATCAAAGGGTGTTTTACCATAAAAACTAAATGATAAAAAACCCACGTGTTTAAGGAAAAATGCAGCCTAACCAGAACAGCCCAAGAACTTAAGTCCAAAGTCCCATTCTTTGCCACCTATTTGGTATATTGAAGAATTTGTGAGGATAAATTCACAGAGAATGCAAAAACATGCCAGAGCAATCAGCAAAATGCCCTTATTGTCATTCCATCATATACCAAGTAAATGTTCATTTATTTCAGGAACGCTAGTGGTAAGATAAAGGGTACAAAGATGTTAAAACATGGCAGCTTGCAATTGCTCTAGTTAAAGAGCGTTTTGCTGTGATTCCAGAATTCCTATTTTTAAAAAAATCTAGTAAAGTACAAAAGTCAGATTCCAATTAGCAGTCATTTATGGTACGAGATACGACTCTGCAATTTGTCTGTCCAGTTTGGAAATGAATTAAAGTTCTGTATGATTGAGTGTGCACTTAATGTGCATAATAATTGTTGGGATGAAATGTAAAAAACAAAGTGAGACCTTAATAAAGGCCTGCTATATAAACCAAAAAACACTTAAAAGTTGTCCTGCAATCTTCCAAAACCACCTGACAAAAAAAAAAAAGAAAGAGAAAGGTTTATGTTTTCTGTTGAGCACTTGGGAGAAAAACAGTGCTCAAAACTCTTCTCCAGCTGAACAGCATCCCTAGATTACACGATGAGAAAGTCTGCACAATCTTTCCTGCACTTCTCACCTGGAGTGGACTGTGGGCATGTATACTTCATGCACAGCAGACTTAGCACTTCAGGGATATGGTGACCCATACAGCACAGAGACAGCTAATCAGGACCCACTGTTTGTGTGCAGTAAGTGCAAATACTTGGAATGTGCAGGGATGACATTTTACTATCCATGTCACCTCTCTGACATGATTAGTGCTGAGACACTTGCTCACCACCAGTCTCCTTGGTCAGAAAGACATGGCTACCAAACTATTGATATTTTTTGGTGCAAGTTCTGGAAGCACTACTTAATAATCCCCCACTTCTTTATCCTGACAGCAATGTGGAAATTCAGTTTATCGTATGTGTAAAGAGCGCTGGTCCTACTTCACTGTCAACATGGCTTTTTCTCTCACAGTGAGAACTTGGGTTGGAAACCACATTGTTCCCCAGTCAGCCTACACAAAAGCTGGGCAATAGAGCAGGATAAACAGAAGGTGGCATATGAAGAAAGGTGCTGATAGCTGAAGGAAGAACAGCGAGAAGCTCTAGGAATTTCCTCTGCCACTGCCAAACACTTGGGAAAAAATTGTACAATGGACCTCAGGTTCTGCTGAGCTCTTTCATGGACTCAACCTCAAAACTGATAAAGTCTTTCAAGAGGCCATGAAAAAAGGACTTGTGTTCCAGTCGTGACTTCCAGCATGTCAGTCAATGTAGCTGAAACATCCTGACTCCTTCAAAGTACCAAAGAGAAAAGGATTTGACCCTTGCACAGAAACTTCCTCTAAAAAGCAAAAAAGTTAATGGTGAAGTCAATAAAATGTATTTAATCCATGCAGTCTCTAAAATTAACTCCTATTTTTGGAAGCACAACAGGTTCCATATTTAGCAGGATAATTCATCCTGTCACACTCTTACAGTATCTTTATTATGATGTCTGAACGCACCTCAATTTCCCAGCCAAAACACTGGCAACAAGGACATTAAGAGAAGACTCGTCTGGTCGATAAACAAATGGCATAGCCACTAACACCAGCAGGGCAGATTCCATTTTTGTGTGTGTTAAAAGCCATGTGCAATGTTTTTATAGCTGGAGTACGCTCCAGTAACTTAGCAATATTATGCAGGCAAACCCCAGGGCTTAGACCAGCAGATGAAGAGAAACTAGTCCTACAGTACCAGAGGGTGAACTGGAGACCATGACAGTGTTTAGACTGCAGACAATAATGTATTGTATATTATTGCTGGCTCCTGTTTAAAACCAAGCTTCAGATCGATCGTCCAGCCTTAGCGGTCAGAGCACTCGAAGAATCCCCAGGATTTTCCTGTCACATGTATTTGTTTTGCTTGGTTAAAACAGACATCTGATGAAAGTCATGCTTTCTCCCTCTCTTTCAAATATATCAAGCTAGATGAAGAAGCCAGTTTTTCTCTTGATGACAAAAGCTGATTCGCTACAGCCCCCAAGGAAAAAGCTTAAGATCTACAGACTTATCAGCTGGTTTTATAGCAAGCTTCATTCCTTTGAAGGTTAATTCATTTATTCTCTCTCATCAGGAGACATCTCACTGAGCTGGGCATGTTTGTAGATGTGAATTTCATGAATCACACATCTTAAAAGCAAGCACAGAAATAAGGGCAGGCTAGAACCATACCCGGGGGTCAATACACAACATGTATTGACTAAGGTAGAAGTAATGAACGTAGACGTAAGCCCTCCAGCACAGACCTCACCAGTAATTTCTTTTTCCATAGATGAAACCACAATTAAGGGATTGGTGGGCTGCTACTTCCTAGAGGTCTTTGAGCCTGACTATTTGGCATTCTCTTCCCAGAGCAGAGCATCATCTCTTCAGCTTCAAATACCATCACCCACCGTGCCAGGCACAACAAAATGAGCTACAAGTCACTTGCACCTGGCAGATGAAGGCATCACATGCAAGTCCATGACAAAAGTTTTACAGATGTCTGAAGGATTCTCCCAAACTGCAGAAAAGCTTAAGAGGTAACTGTGAGACTCCCACTGAATGCTTTTGACACATCTGGTAACACACCAACTGCTGTGGATGGTGGCTGGTCAACCACCTATGAAATGTCCTC